GTTGCACAAACATGAGAGTCTGTGTGAACAAGCAACAAGACCCATGTGGAAAAGCCAGGCCTAATGGTAACCCCCATGTTAGCACTGTGGGGACAGAAGGATCCTGGGACTTGTGGACCAGTCACCCTTGCCTACTTGGCAAGCACCAGGCCAATAAGACACGCCATCTCAAAAGCAATGTGGATAACTCCTGAGGAACAACTCCCAAGGTTGATCTCTGCACTTAGACATTCCGGGCCCCAAACCCTGGGAAGAGTGAGACACCATGGGCAGATCTTCCCACCTCAACTAACGTAATCAGATGATGCCCAGATGTGCCCATAGGCCAGCCCCATCTAGACAGTCCCTCCTCATCCAGACAGTCCCTCCCACCCCATCTACACAGTTCCCCCCACCCCATCTACACAGTCCCCCCCACCCCATCTACACAGTCCCTCATCAAGACTCTCTTTCCAAGTGATTCTGGAGTGTGTCAAGTTGATAATTAGGACCACCCACCACAGACTATTTCTCTTAAAATTCTTTCAGAGGTTGAGGTTATAGTTCAATGGTACAACACTGGTCTAGCACACACACACACACACACACACACACACACACACACACACGCACACACACACACGATTTTCTAACTACCTTTAGGGAGTTTATAAAAAACAAATGCCTTAAAATAATGCAGTACTTTTATATATCATAAATCTCTAAATTATAAAAAATATGAAGCTATCTGTTTGACCATGTGTATTTTGTTTTCAATTAAATGAATTTATTTTTAAATACTATTTTTATTTATGCATATGTGTTTGTTTGTCTGCTTGTGTGTATCGCATGTACACTGTGCCTACAGAGGCCAGAAATGGTACCAGATCCCATAGAGTTGGAGTTACAGGCAGTTGTGGGCCACTGGATGTGGGTGCTGGGAATCCAACCCGAGCTGGCGGCAAGAGCTAACTGCTGAGCCATCTCTCCCGTCCCATTTGTTTACTGGGGGCAGTGGCCAGGCTTGCCATCCAGGACAGGCTGTGTGGCAGGTACCTTCCCTGTTGAGCCATATGCTATTTTAGCAATAGAAGATCAAAGACAATTGACAAAATAAAGTAGCTGTCCCGACTTCTAAGGATATTTACTTTTTCCTTTGGACTAAATGACCTATTTTCATTCTAGCAGGCCTTAGACGATTGTACGGCCTTGGGAAACCGCAATGAGCCGAAGTTGTCACTAGGTGGCGGAAGAGCACCACACGGCAAGGCTTGCACTCTGCTGCTGTTAGGCTGTTGGTTTGTGCCGGTCACAGAGAAACCCTTGTCTTCTAGCGGGAGGGAGAGAGGCTTCCAGCAAGTTCCTGGGATCCCTTGTTTTTGTGGGAAACAACCTAAGGCATTCATGTGACATCTTGTATAGCGAGGCATTTGTGAGAGCATACAACATCTTCTCTCCTTCCTCCTTTCAAACTGAGGATTCTCTGCCAGGAGAATTTAAAAATGACGAAACAATAAATCAGATGGTATATTTGTTTTCTAAAACAAGGTGTTGCCAGGATGGCCTCAGACTCTCAGGGCTCCTCCTGCCTCCGCCTCCAGAGTTCTGGGCTTACAGGTATGTACCTTAGGCTGGCGGTGTTTATTTTCCCTGCAAACTGTGAGAAATGATCACAAGAAGGAAGAGGTATTTTTCCAACCTACCACAGAGAACAGTGTGAGTTTTGCTTCATTAGACAAAGCCAAGTTTCTTCTTGTCTTCGGGGTCATTTCCTTCTCCTGCCTCATTTTCTAATTCTACATCTGAGAGACTAGGGATCAGAACAAGCGTGGCTACGACGTCTCTCTGTGGACATTCTGTCCAGTAAGGACACACACAAAAAAAACTAGATTCCCTGTCCTCGTTGGTTTTTGTCTATTTGGCACAAATCTAGACATTATTTGGGAAGAGTAACCTCAGCAGAGAAAATGCCTGCATCAGATTGACTGTAGACAAATCTTTAGGGCATTTTCTCCATTGACGGTTGACGTGAGGGGATCCAGCCCATGGGGCCAGTGGTCCCGGAGGGAACAAGAAAGCGACCGAGCAAGCCACGGTGGGGAAGCCAGTAAGCAATGTTTCCTCCATGGCCTCTGCTTCTGTTCCTGCTTCCAGGTTCCTGCCTTGAGTTCCCGCCCTGGTGATGGAGTGTGGCTGGAGAATTGTACGATGAAATAAAACCCCTTTCCTCCTCAGACTGCTTTTCATGGTGTTTCATCACAGGGTTGGGAACACTACGGCACTCCTCTAATGGTGGACGTCTTTTTTCTTTTTCTTTCTTTTGAGGAAAGATCTCATGGAGATCTTACTAGGTAGCTCAGGTTGACTTGGAACTCCCAGTCACTCTCCTAGCTCAGTGCCCTGGGTGCTGGGTTCACAAAAGCCCGCCCGGGTTTACAGCCACCACGCCTGACTTGAAAAGCTGGGTTGTAAGGGGTGGATTCTCAGTTTGTGCTCAGCCCCAGCCCATGGGCAGTCAGGAAGTGGGGGTTTTGTTAGGAAACCAAGCTAGGTGGTGTGGCCACAGATATCACACCATCCAAGGGCACAGTCCTGAGAGGCCTTGTGTTAGTGATCATGTGATGATGCTCGGAAGGATGGGTCCCGCCCAATAGTCTACCAGGGTGACTGTTTTCATCCGGGGAAGGTCCTCCTCAGCAAGGATCTGTGAAGCCCTTTGGTTCACTGAAATAGCATTTATGGCGCCTTCATTTCAGTAGCTGTAATTGACTGGGGTATCCAGGCCCCAGTCAACAAGGAAAGCGCTTCATTTCTCTCTCTTGTATGAAAGAACCCTGGGGCCACAGTGAGCTGCCTTCCTAAAATAGGTCAGATTCTTGCGAGGCCAGGCAGCGAAGTGATGTTTCTGGGGACCGCAGGCCAATGTTTTCCTGGAAAAATTAATTAAAATATCAGCGGCTTCACAAGCCAAGAACAAGCACCAAATTGCCCTCCGGGTGGACAGATGCTATTCAGTATTAGGTTCAACTAGACTTTTGAGCCACGGTGACCAAGACTCTGGGACAATCAGAACAGCAAGTCGCAGTTGCCTCCAACCAGTTCAAGTCCCACAAGCCCTGGCCCATCGCCTTGGCACTTGGGGTGGATTCCGGCATGTCTGGCAGGGATTACTGTCATCATGGTAGGCTTGTGTACAGTACACAAAGTGTTTGTGAAGCCAGGCTGCCTCCAACATCGTTACCCAGAAAACATGGCTGCCCCAAAAGAGACCCATTCTGAGCTTAGAATTTCCTTTCCCCATCAAAAGAACAAAACTCCAAACTTCTGCTGTGTCTCTCAGGAGTGACTTGGGACAGGAAAGAGGCAGTTAAGAGAAAACAGTACCCTGAGTAGGAAGAAAAGGCTGCATTGGAAAACTGAGAAAATAAAAGGAAAAATTCCTCCCGGGGGCAGAAATTCAGGCTAGGCGGTAACTGCAGAGGTTGTTAGACGAAGCCAAAACTGCATACAGATAAAATTGCAAACACCCAAATCACAGTGCTGCCCTGAAACACACTTCCTGTTCAGTCCCCTGGAGAGGAATGACTTTGGAGAGAGAGGAGGACGGAACTGGATCACCAGAGAAAGCAAAAAAAAAAAAAGTCACATCTAAGCCCAGGAGTCCACGCTCACTGGCTTTCTCAGCTCCGGCCTCTCCTCAACATACATTGCAATCAATGGGCCGTTCCCATAGACATTCACAGCTGCTGGGGCTTGTCGTGCATAGACAGCCCCCAACTTTAGACTATTTGATGTGCAATTTTAAAACTTAATGATGGTGCAAGAGTGTACTTGTGTTCTATCTTACCCTCTCATGACGCTTTTCGATATCCAACACTTTGTAAGTTCGGGTTTGTGTTAACAGTTTGCTCAGCTGCAGGCTAATGTAATCATTAGGGGAACTAGATGGGGCTCTTACACCCCACTAGTTAAGTTTATTTTGTTTTGTTTGTTTTGATACAAGGTCTTACTCTGTACCCCTGATTGGCCTGGATATCATCATGTAGCCCAGACTGGCCTTGAACTTGCAGTGATTCTCTGACTCACCACCCTGGTTACTAAGTTAACAGCCACCAAGTTTGACACTCGACTTGGGTTTATTTCATGTCTTTAGAAATGTATTTCCAACTTCCAATATGCTTGTTGCACTGTAACCCATAACAAGTAAAGACACATGAAGGTACCTGGGAGGGACCTGAGACTGAGTCTCGTTCCAGACAGTTTTCGTCCGGACCTGAAGCATCTTGGGTGGTGGGCGATGACAGTTGACTCTTCGACTCTTCAGGGACCTGCCTCACCAGAGAGTGTCGGTGGGGGCAGATGAAAGGGAGACATCTTTTCCCTCTTCATTGCCAAGCACTCCTCCCTCAGCCCATCTAGTACTCAGCGTGCCTTTCTTTCTTTCTTCCTTCCTTCCTTCCTTCCTTCCTTCCTTCCTTCCTTCCTTCCTTTCTTCCTTCCTTCCTTCCTTCCTTCCTTCCTCCTTTCACACCCCGAGCATCCCTGACCTCTCCATCCCGTACCTCCTACACCCATCTCTTCTCTTATGAACCTCAGTGCCCCAGACCCCTGAGCACCTGCTCAGTAGTCAGGCAAGGAACATGAGTTGGTCTTGACTGTTGGCTCTGGAGGCCAGGGACAGCTTGTTGTATCCCCTGATCCAGCCACACTTTAAACAACTACTTATTAGTAACAACAGCCAAGATGTACATAGCCCTACTGTGTACCAGGTATTCTGCCATACATACAACATGCACTGATTCTGTCAAAGTGCATATGTTTTTATTATTCTGTTTCAGCATCAAGAAAATGGAGTCTCAGAGAACTACTAGTTACCTTGTGTGGACAAGGTCAAACCACCTCTTTGGATGCAGAATTTGTATTTGGCCAAGGTCAAACCACCTCTTTGGATTCAGAATTTGTACTTGGCCAAGGTCAAACCACCTCTTTGGATTCAGAATTTGTACTTGTATCTTCCTCCATATAAAACAGGCTTCCCTTGTGCCCTCTCCAATGCGCCATCAAGGGATGGAGGAAGTGGCTGTGTCGATCTTATATGTCCCCAGGACTCCTGCAGGCATTCGAGGCAAATTTGCGGCGTGTACCCTGTGTGACCATGAGCTCTGCACTAGCACCCAGCAGTGGTTTGAGAGGCAGTGGGGGCAGAAGATTCAAATCCATCGAGTGGCTGCTCCCTCCGCCCAGAGCCTGTGCCTGCCGACTTCCCTCCGGGGGGATTCCTTTCCATCCTAGGTAAGTGTCTGGGTTTTAAGGACACATTTGGATATTTTCTTTCCCCAGCTGCAGCAGCAACAGCTTGGATGCTTTGGATTCTTGGTGCTTTCATAGTTGGGTTATGTCAACAAGGCTGTCCTCTGAGGATATTAAAGAACATGAAAGGGTTTTACTGAAGGATGAATGTGAAAAATATAGTAGCTCCCAAATTATGAACATTAGGTAACAATAATACCGAATATTCAATTACAGTACAAATGGCTTACTTAGATCCACAACTTTCAGTCAAAATGTAAAACTTTTTAAAGATTTATTTTATTTTAAAAATTATGTATGCGTGTGTGTGCACATGTACGTGTGATGGTGCCCTTAGAATCCAAAAGAAGACATTGGATGTTTTGGAGCTGGAGTTACAGGTGGTTGTGAGCCACCCAATGTCAATGCTAGGAAATGAACTTGGGTCCTCTGTGAGAACAGCAAGTGCTCTTAACCACTGAGGCATCTCTCCAGTTCCCAAATGCAAATTATTTGTAAAATAAAATAAATTTGCGTGTGGGATCACCCTTGAGCAGGGGTCGCGATCATCTTCGTGATTCCAATTTTAGTGTCAGTGCAGCCAGAGTAAGCACAGCTACAAACATTTTAAGAGTCGCTGTGTTGTTTAATTGCCAGGGCCTGGGGAGGCGGCTTACTCCCAGAGTGCTTCCTGTGCAAGGGTGAGGACCTCAGTTCAGGTTCCTGGCACTCACGTAAAAGACAGGTGTAGCGGGGCACACCTGAAATGTCAACATGGGAGAGACAGAAGGGGCCTTGGGTTTGCTGGAAAGCCAGGTGAGCTGAATAATGAGTGCCAGGTTTAGTAAGACACCCTTTCTCAAAAACTAAAGTGGAGAGAGTGGAGGAAGACACCTACAATTGATCTCTGGCCTTCATACACATGCATGCATCACACACGCGCGCGCGCGCGCACGCGCACACACACACACACACACACACACTCACACACACACACACTCACACATGCACGGTGTGCACAGATCATCTAGTCACAGTCCCACATAACACAGGTGTTTAGTATACTCCAGCTCACCCGTGTTATTTAGTTCTATTGAGCGCCTGTGCCCTGGGCTGCAGAATAAGATGGGTTCCTGCCTCACGGCATCACCGGAATGAAGCAGGAAACAATGGCAGAGCTTAGCCTGGTTCAGATAAGTAAGTTCATTGTTTAATTGTTTTGTTCTTTTGGACTATATTGTGTCAAGATACACGCAGTCGGTTAGAACATAGAGGCCTGCAGATCAAAGCCAATTAATCCATCCCTCACCCACCTCCTTGCAACACCCAAGAGGCTGGAGGATGGAGAGGCTATGGACGAATTTCTGTAAACCCATCACTGCTATTCTTTCCAGTCTGAACCACTCCCTCCTTGAGGTACGATGGGGGGCTCATGAGATAGAGGAAGTTAAGGGTTGAGTCATCACCAAGCTGGGTGGGACTTGTCAACTGTGTTCTGCCTGTTAGTCACCTGCCGAAAGTAACCTCCACAAATTCATTGGTTTATACAGTTAGATTGTCCCTTTAGTCTGTCACTGGTGGCCCATCTGGGATGAAGACATTGGTTCACACCTTCCCAAGGGGAAAAAAATCACATACGAAGAATGAATCTGAGCACTGCTGCCAGCAGCCCTCCGCAGGGTAAGCCCACAGCCTCACATGGCTGCTCCAGCCAGTCTTGGTCTATTGTGATCTCTGCTATGTGATTATTAACAGTGGCTGCCTTAGTTAGGGTTACTATTGTTGTGCTGAAACACTGTCATCAAAGCAACTTGAGGAGAAAAGGTTTATTTGGCTTACACTTCCAAATTGTAGCCCGTTACTGAAGGAAGTCAGGGCAGGAACTCAAACAGGGCAGGAACCTGGAGGCAGGAGCTGATGCAAAGGCCGTGGAGGGGTGCTGCTTCCTGGCTTGCTCAGCCTGCTGTCTTTTAGAAGCCAGAACCACCAGCTCAGGGGTGCCCCCCAAAATGGGCTGAGCCCCCCTACATCAATCCCCAATTAAGAAAATGCTCTACAGGCTTGCATACAGCCCGATCTTATGGAGGCATTTTCTCAATTGAGGTTCTTTCCTCTCTGATGAGGAAGCCTGTGTCAAGTTGACATAAAACTAACAAGGACAGTGCCCTTTCATTCTCAAAATGTCTCGGTCTTACATTGCTGTTTTGCCCATGGCAGCATCAGCATCAGCAGACAGGGCAGTGTGTTTGTGTCTTTTCGTTTCTTACCCTTGCATGGCAGCCCCTTCTTGTTCACTTGGAGTTTTTCTTCATCTCTTACTGTGGATTGCTTTACACTTCAACCATTTCCTCTTAAGATGATTCTCCCGCCCTCCTCCTCCAGTCTCCTTTCACATGCTCAGCTGGGGCACGACGGTTGGAGATGAGTGATCGGGAGTTCGGTGACCCGGTCTGCAGACTGATGACCTCACCTTCTGCCCGGTTAGTCACTGCATCTCCTCCAGAGCACAGAGCTTTCAGCTGCAGGTCGGAGGAGTAGGCTGGACCTCTCAGGGTTATCACATAATGCTTGGAAAATGTCAGTTGCCTGTTAGTCACTTTATTCGCCCTTTGTGGGAACAATATAAAGAGAGCGTAAAAGAGTTCAGCAAAGAGGACAAATGTCCTTCCTAGTTTTATTAAAGCTGTCCTGGTTAGTCACCAACATCCCCCCGAAGCATGGCTAGGAGTCCTTGCAAAGTGATGCTGTTGCCTGTTGACGTGGATGGAATATGACTAAAGACTGCACTTCCTGTATTAGGAAAGGGACAGCTCTGGGCATGATATGAGACCAGCAATGCCAGCTCCCCAATACATTAAGCCCCCAGGGGTGCCACTGCTGCTGCCACACGACCTTCAGTTCCTCTGACCTCTAAAAGTAGCTCCTACATCTCAGAGCCCTTGAGTTTTCCCCTAACGCCTGAAGGAATCCTAGGACAACATCTCCCCTCCCTGCCAGCTTCCCAGTGCAGCTGGGGCTCGTCTTTATAATGTCTGCTGTGCCTCCTCTTCGAGAATGCACCGCTCTGCTAGTTATGCTGTTGGTGATGTGGACACTGGTGAGTGTGGTGAGCAGGTTTTTGCCTGTCTGGCTGCCCTTGTCTCAATCCCTTTGCTGAAAACCACCCCACCCCCCAAAGCATGTGCTTGGAAGCTGTTGGCCCTTCTCCCTCCAGTCTTTGGTACCCATGGAAGCCTTATTCATCAGTCACAGTGAGTGGTCCATAGATGGCCACATGTCCCAGGTGCCAAAGAGAAATGATACCGAGATTTGGGCTGGGGTGAGAGAAGAGCTGCCCTCTCCTTTGCGGCTGGGAAGTGAGCAGGTGCTGCTGGAGGCCATCTTTGTTCCCTGGAGATGAGGCCAGCTCAGTGGGAAGAGAGGCTGACAAACGGAAGAAGCATTTCTGAGAACAGCATCCTGGCACCTGACCTCTCTGTGCTTCCAGCCAGTCTGCGGCGGTGAGCCAACTAAAGCCTCCTTCATGTGCATGCTGCTTCATGTTTCTGCCACATGTAATAAAAGGTAGTCCCAGTTAAAACAGCAAGAAAATCTGTTATCCTCCGCAGAGGGTTGCCTTTTAACACTAGTTAAAGTCTTTAGCCCCCCCCCCAAAAGGGTTTGTATGGCAGAATTCCTAGAGGGGTGCTCTAGCCATCCCGTTTAGGGTCAGGCACCCCCCACCATCACCACCACTCATTCTCAACCCTTTGGGCAATCGCAGGATTCTTCATAAACTCCATTGTGTATGCACATCACATTTTCATTTGAACTGAGCTAGAAAACTAGAGATGCTCAAACCCCACCTTCCTATGAGCACCTCATCTGCCTCATAAGGAGACTGGCCCAGATCAAAGATTATCCCCGTTGGCCCAAAGAAGTTCCTGGCTTGGATCCAGGCCTGAGGAGGTCACTTGGGGGGGGGCACCCAGTCAGAGTGTTTCTCCTTATAGCTTCAGCTGCCCACCCTGCAGTCAGAATTAGGAGCATCACTAAGAGAGGGTCAGCTGAGCTGGAAGCGTGTCCTAGAAATGCCATCTCTCATCCCGCCTCCCATTCCAGCCTTCTCACCCTACATTTCAGACAAGCGCTGCACATGGCAGCAAGAATCTGGAGTTTTCTTTATCCGTTTATTTATATGTTTTTAGAGTTAAAGTGGATTTTCAGTCATAAGATGCTAAGTTCTGAAGATCTAATGTAGAGGGTGATCGTAGCTACCAATAGTAGAGACATAACAATTTGCTAAATGATTAGGTCTTCAATGTTCTGACTATCCAAAATAAAAGGGTGGAGAGTGTTAACTAACTTAACTGTGATCATTTCACAACGTGCACACACATCAAGTCATATCATACACCGTAAGTTCATAAAAACATACTTGTGCTTACACCTAAAAGACAAAGGGTAGGAAACCATAGGCACATTGCCGACCACATATGGAAACAAATAAGCTGACTGCAGAGATATGTTCACTGAATGACTACGTCTTTGTAAATACACGTGTGTTAGTTTCTGTTCTCTTCACTATGACAAACATCTTGTAGAAGCAACTTTTGGAGGAAAGCGTTTGTCTGGGTTTGTTTCGAGGGTGGGAAGGCTGGTAGTCGGGGTGGAAAGTGACTGGCCACATTGCATCCGCAGTCCAGAAACAGAGAGAGCTGAACTCCAGCATTCCACTTGTCCCCTCCTTTTAAAAAAAGGGCTAATAATTTATTATTATTATTATTATTATTATTATTATTATTATTATTATTATTTTAAAGATGTATTTAGTTTTACTTTATGTGTATATACTGCATGTATGGATGTGCTCCACATATGTGTCTAAGTGCCCTCAGAGGTTAGATAGAGTGTCAGATTCCCTGGAACTGGAGTTATAGGTGGTTGTGAGCTGCCAGCTGTGGGTGCTGGGAACCAAACCCCAGTCCACTGCAAGAGCAGCGAGTGTTTATAACCCCTGAGACGTTTCTCCAGCCTCCTGCCCTCTCCTTTTTTAATCAGTGTGAGAGTGAGGCCCCCATCCCAGGGATTGGTGTCCCCCACCCCCAGGTTCGATCTTCCCACCTTAGGCAAACCTTCCTAGAAATGCCCCCTATACACACCCAGAAGCATGTCTCATAGGTAATTCTAAAGCTTGTCAAGTTGAGAGTGATAATCTACCATCACCATATATAGTCTGTGTGTGTGCTCATAAATAATGAATATTAGTACATATATCCATGTGTGTGAATAGATACAATCTAGGAATAAACACAAACGTTCTCTCTCAACAGGAAGGGGAAAACAGAGAGGGAATGGGAGGCATCAGTGAGTCAGTCACATACTAGACAAATTAAAACCAGGAAACAGGAACAGCAGCCAGGAGAGTAGGACTCCCAATAGCCTCCTGGATCCATAGGCGTTTCCCTTTGGAGATTTTTCTACGTTCATTCATGGATCTCAGGAGTTCAGATTCCGTCCAGAGCTGTGGGATTGCAGGAACATATCCAACAGAGTTCCAGCAACATGCTCTGAAAACAAGACTCCTGGGTGACTCTTTAAGGAGATATTGGGGAAGTGTAGATGGGCCAGGCCAAGCAGGGGAGCTTGTGAGAGCACATTGCACCTTTGAGAATTTCTACCTGGAGGAGCTGGGCAGTCAGACTTCCTCCCTGGCAACGGGCACTCTCCGGGAAGGCCTGCTGTGGAGGAAGAGAGGGCATATACTCTCACACCTTCTGTCCCTCATGGTGTCAGCTGTGATTCTAGGAGATGGAAGACAGAAATGAAAGAATACAGAGGGAGCACACAGGCATGGGGCGTGGAAGGCACCTCAGTTTGTGAGGTTTGCATGTGAAATCCCCGCATTAGCTCATGTATTAGAACGCCTCGTCACCACCTCGTGGTGCTCTTTTGGGGAACTGTGGAAACTCTGTGAGGTAGATCACACAGGAGGGAGGTGAGGATGCTACTCATCTCCGGGTTCTGCCTGAGCTCTCTGCTTCCTCATCTGTGAAGACGAAACAAGCGCGCAGGCGCAGCCTCTGACTGCGCAGGCGCAGCACAGTAGCGGCTCTGCCTTTCCCACCATGATGGACTAAAAAAAAACCCACAAGCCAAATTAAATAGATCCTAAAGCACCTCTGTCAGCCTTCGTCCCAGTGACAAGTAACCAACACACTGGGCTGAGCAAAATGAAGAGCTGCAGTTGTCAGGGATGGGTAGACAGGCAGGTAAGTAAACAAGTGGCAGATGACTGTATGAGTAGACAGGTGACAGATAGATAAGTGAAAGATGCACTTAGATAGGAATATAGACAAACAGAGGGCGACTGATGGGTAGACAGCAAGTAGATAGATGATCTACACATAGGTAGGTAGATACATAGGCAACAGATGATAGATACGTAGACAGAAAGTAAGGAAATCGTTTATAACGGACAATTGCCTCACGTAATTGTGGAGGCTGAAGTGCCCCATGGTCCATTACATGTGAGCCAGAGGCTCAGGAAGGACAGCGTTGTGATGAGCCCACACTCAAAGGCCCAGAAACCAGGAGCTGTGCTATCCACCCCTTTGTTCTGATCAGGTCTGCAGTGGGTTGCTGATGCCGTGTGTGCTGGATGATGTCATGTGTGCCAGTGGGAGCATATCTTCTTTATTCAGTCTTCTGACATGCATGCTAATCTTTTCAGGAAACATCTTCACAGACACCATGCTTTGTGAGCTATGCGGGCGGTCTGTATCAGCTGATACACAAATTCGATGCTCACAGTGCCCATCAAAGCACCCCAAAATAGTATACACTGGGTAGTGGCTGGGCTCGACTGCTTCAGGAAGACTAAGCAGCCCATTAAGACAACTATTTTGTCTTTGAAGATTCACACCATCACCTCCCCTGCCTATCACAGCCCCTATCACCTCCCCATGCCATCCTTCCTTCATCACCTCCCTTCTGCAAACAACCCCTCTACCATCCCCCTACTGCCTCCCGTATTTTCCCTAAGCATACCCTCCTGCCTTCACCTCCTGCCAACACCTCCCTTATCCCTCTCCTGCTATCACTCCTGACTCCATCACCACCACCCCTGCGCTTCCGTGGCTTCCTCACATATGCTGGCTAAGTTTTATGTCAGCTTGACACAGCCAGAGTCATTTTTGGAAGGGTGAACCTCACCTGAAAAAAAAGAAAAATGACCTCACCTGGTCATTTGGCCTGTGGGCAAGTCTGTGGTGTGTTTTCTTGATTGATGATTGGCCCAGCTCACTGTGGGTGGTGACACTCATGGTCTGGTGGTCCTGGCTGCTGTAAGAAGGCAGGCTGAGCCAGTCTCAGAGAACAAGATAGTAAGCAGAGATAGGTGGGGTTTTCTCATCCCAGCAGTCACTTCCCAAATAACCACAAGAGAGTCTTATTATCAATTATAAATATTCGGCCAATAGCTCAGGCTTGTCACTAGCTAACTCTTACACTTTAAATTAACGGATATTTCTTATCTACCCTCTGCCACGTGGTTCATGGCTTGTTACCTCATTTTCTACATGTCCTGTGTCCCCTGCACCTGCTGGCGACTCCACTGACTCCCCTGTTCTTCTTCCCAGATTTCCCTGAGTCTGGCTCTCCTGCCCAGTCTCTCCTGCCCAGCTACAGGCCAGTCAGCTCTTTGTTAACCAATGAGAGTACTGCATATTTACAGTGTACAAAGACTGTTCCGCAGCAAGCCAGGATCTTCCATGGTCTCTGGTTTCTGGCCTGACTTCCCTCAGTAACGGACTGCGCTGTGGAACTGTAAGTTAAAAATAAACCCTTTCCTCCCCACGTTGTGCTGGTCATGTTTATGACAGTCATAGAAACTCTAACTAAGACAGCACACACCCAGCCTAACTCTCCATGGCTGGGACCACCTGCCTTTTGAGCACAGTTGAACGAAAGTTTTCTTTCTGGGAATTGGACAAAAGACTGAATCGTATTTATTCTGGTTTGGACAGGGGCACTATGGATTAGAAAGTGAGATTGGCACTGGGTGGGGGGTGCCTGGACTTGTGTCCAGTGGCGTGAAGAATATCCAGCCGCAGGGAGAAAAAAGACCAAAGATTTAGTATTAAAAGCAGCCTAATAGCTAATTCTTCAGCGCTAGCGATGCTTCCCGCACTGGGTCCTCATGGATGGGTCCCTTGGCTCCTTCCCACAACCCCACAGGGCAAAAACTAGTGGCTGTCGTCTAAGACGCCGAGCGCTCAGATCTAATGCCATTTAGCAGTCACACAGCCATGCAACTGGAAAGGATGCAGTCAGGGGCCAGCCTTCGGGGCAAACCCAGAGCTGAGCGCTGACCACGAGGCCAGGGGAAGCAAGCTAAGTTGGAAGCCCAGGTCAGACTTGGTGGCTTGCAAAGTCAAAAAAGAGCTAGACAGATTGCTATGTGGGCTCCTGCTGGCCTACAACACATGTCTTATACAGAATGACCTCACCCACTTCTTAAGGATGGTGGTATGTATTCGGTAGCATCTCCCACTGCCCACTGATGGTACAGAAGGAAGGGGTTGAGTGGGTGGGTTAGCCTGGCACCCCAAACTCCTGCTATAAATACATGTGCTTTGCTTTTGTCGATTATTACAAGTTTTTACATCAGACCATCATGTCATCTATGAATAAATACCATTTTCTTTTTCCCCCGTCCATACACCTTTTTATCTACTTTTCCCTTCTCCACTGAAAATTTGAGCTTGTAGTAATAGTGAATCTCTACTGCTTGCAACTAAAAGAATCCAGCAAGGAAATCCACTCTTGATGAAATGGGAAAGAGACACAAGAATTTCCAACTTTTCCTGACCTTCAAAGTTTCCACTGCTACCCCAGACCCCAGGAAGAGTATATGGGGGTTCGCCATGTTAGATTCTAGGGTCTGATTAGGCAGAGCCTGGGCAATACAGCACTGATACCTGGCTGGTCTCTGACATCTCTGCCACAGCCTCCCCCTGTGGCCCTGTGAAAACGTGAGTGAAAAATACCTTCAGGAAAAATCCTCTCTGGAGAGAATTGTAGGATTGTTGTGCAGTGAGCAGCCCTGTACTGTGAGATTTTAAGAGATCATGCTGTGCATTTTGATCAAGTTCAAGGAGCTGTGTTTTCTTGCTACAGGTGTAGAGAAGCCGGCAGGTGTTCTCTGAGAGCCATGGAGAATGGGAGAGAAAGGACAAGTCTGAGAAATTCTTTCATAGTTTAAGTAAGAAGGCGACATTATCTTTTATAGTCATGTTCTACAGCCAATAGAGCAATCCAACGTCCTATCACACACATTATAATCTGTACAGAAGAGGAACTGTGGGCCAGCCAGGCTGATGACCTGAGTTCAATCCCCAGGACCCATATGGTGGGGGGAGAAAGATGACTCCTGCAGCTTGACCTCTGACCTCTACATGGGTACCATGGCACCACACACACACACACACACACACACACACACACACACACACACACATATATGCATACACACACACACACACACACACACGCACACACACACACATTCATACACACACACGCACATACAAAATGTTTTTTAAGGAGATTAATCACATTTTCACATTTTATTCCAAAATGACTGAATATTAAAGGGTAGTTATTATTATGATTTAGAACACAAGGCATACACATTTAAATTTTAGTATGAGTGTTGCTCCTTTTGTGCAATTGTTCCACTTATGATTTTCCTCAAATGTAGAGATGTTATAGCATATATAAATGCAGTATATGCAGTGAATGTGTAAT